CCGCCATATGTTTTGTCTTTTGTGCTGGTGACGAGTGGAGCAAGGCCCTTAGGGCCACTGCTCGTAGGAAAAAGAAACAAACGAAAGAGAGAGCTACGGTAATAAGTAGTTGTAACTTGTAACCCATAACTGCTCGAAAGCAGACCTGACTTCGAATCCAGAACATACATTGCCGGCCTGCACCTCTTTCATACGAAATTTGCTGAACATCTCTTGAGATGTTGGGACCCTTGCATATGTACTGCTGGGGTCCTCCGCGAAAAAGACTATTTAAAAAGGAATACGTGGGCCCTATTTTTTTTTCTGTGGGGAGGTGCACCATTGGCTACCTCAGCCGGCCTTCTCCAATTTTTTTTTTAATACCCTATTTAGCGGGGTGTGTCGCATCACGTGCGCGTGCATGCTTACACGTGCGTTATGCGCCGTGCGTGCGAAGCTCGAGCGCACGCGATACGACGCAGGTATGGGTTGGAGTATAGGCGGAGTAGGGGTGATATAGGGAATATTGGGGGCGTTAATAAGGATGTTGGGGGTGGTTCGGGAGTGTTAGGTTAGTGTATGCGGGTATTGGTGGCCGCTATGGGGCTGTGGGTGGGGTTATTAGGGGTTCTGGATCCCAAAAAACAAAAAAAAAAAGGTGCGGGGTGCCGATGATCCCCGACTGCTAGGTGCCAACCAGCAGATCGGTTGGCGGGTCGGCAGCCGACCAGTCAAGGGCTGCCGACCTTCGGGGTGTGCAACCCTGATGACTACCAAAAAAAAAAAAAAAAAAAGAAAAAAAAAAATTCATTGATTGACTGTTTTTTTTCTTTATTGATTGATTGATTGATTGATTGATTGATTAATTGGTTGATTGATTGATTGATTGATTGATTGGTTGGTGGGGGAGGGGTCCTCCCTCCACTCCACGGCGCGCGCACACCTCTCTCTCTCTCTCTCTCTCTCTCTCTCTCTCTCGCGCGCGCGCGCGCGCGCGCAGCTCCCACACACGCGCGCGCGCACACACCCACACCCACACCCACACACCCACACACACACACGAAAACCAGTATGGCAGTGTATATTCCCACGATGTAGCGCCAGATTCATTCGTTTTTTATTTTCTTTCTCTTTTTTTTT